TTAAAACAGCGTTTATCTTTGCCAAGGATTATAGATTGTTTAGGTATTATGCTATGCCATTGCTGGTTTCTGTATCTTTACTCTATTGCTTCTTAATAACCATGGTAACATGCTGTTATTTTTCCCCTCATTCCTTTAGCCTATCAGTGACCTCAGTCATGAGTGGACACGTTGCTCGTACATGGTGTCTTCACAAGTGTGTGGTGAGCGTTCCTTCACTCTGCTCTCTTGCCTTGTATCCATGGCAACCTTGGCCGCGCTGCCATCGCACCCTGGGCAAACGCTAACATTAGCTCTTCTGAAAATTGAGCTTGGTCGTCTTCCCGTGAGCAATATCTTTTGTCAGTTCATAAATCTTTCTTCCTCCATCAGAATTCTAGGCTTGACAGCCCAAACGATGTGAATCAACATAATGTTTAACTTGCAAAATATTAGTCGTCTGATATGCATTACTTTAAATATTCGATCTTTTCTCTGTCAGCATTTTAGCACACAAATGGTTTAGTTTATTCTAGACATAAATGCTGCTGCTCTCTCCAAAACATGTAGAGCGCGCGCGTGTTAGTCCTCGTTAGCCCTCTCGAGAAAATAAAATCCCGAGTCTCACGTCTCATTAGTGATCAGTTTCTCAAAATTTTCCCAACCTTCTCCCATTCCATATTCTAAGCTCACGACCCTCCTCCTTGGTAATTACTTCATTGGCTTATGTTATCGCGAAACCCGGGTCTTATGTTATCTTCCTTCCCACCTCTAAGACCACATGATTTTATCCCCGCCCGCCCGCCCCCTTGGGTCAGTTTACCTCCGTGCCACCTCAACTTTCTCCCCTGCATTACCCTCTGGTCCTTAGGTGGCGGACATGGACACCTCGCAGCGTTCTCAGTTTACTGCTCTTCTCGGGTATATTGTGAGACTCTTGTATTATCCACTCCATTGTCTGACTCGGTTGGCTGTGTCTTCAGCTGCAGAAAGTTTATCCGTGAATATCAATTGTGGAGTGTAAGTGCGAGGGACTATTGTGTAGTTGGCAGGCCGCGGGTATAGTGTCGCTAGCCTCGTCACACATTAGGTTTCTAAACAAAAGTAACAGTAAAATCTAAATTGTTGCAGATAAGGCGCTCCATTGTTCTGTGATTCATTGTTGCAATCTCGGTAGCCTCCTATTTCCTCGGGTCAGGACGCTGATAAAAACAAACACCCCCTCCCCCCTCCAACTCCACCTACGCGAGTCGAAGTTCTATTATGAGAACAGAATTGTGACCTGTTGGAGTGCGGAAAGCATTTGCAGTTTCAAAACGTTGTGTAACAAAGATTATGAGGCAGAAGACGAGGCATCACGAGCAAAGCTCTCATTCTGTAACTAAGGTAATTGGACTTGGGTAATTGGACTTGGGGGAAACAGAGCAGAGAGTAAAGTTGGGAATCACTCTGCCTTTATTCAGTTGTATTTTCTTTTATTATAAATATTCTGCCTTCATTGCATCATTCCTTCATTCCTGCTTTCATTGATAATTCTTCGTAACTTTGTCTCCTGATCTGCTGCTTTATTCTCTTTTTTTCATGTTGACGGTTGCTTGTTTTTTTTCTAATTCTCTTATACCTTGTTTAGTTAAAATAAAGCAAAGAGTAGATAAACGACGACCTTGACTTGGCTACGAGGCCAGACGCAAGGTGCAGGCAAGACAGAAGGATAATCAGTAAACGAGATGCTCAGACAGTAAATATAGAGCACCTTTTTTTTTTTTTTTCCCCGCCAAGACAAGAAGACACGTAAGATAAAAAAAAAAAATTCTGAAAAGAAAACGGTGACGCCATAGGCGGTTAAGACCAACACGACGAGCCGACTACATAACCAGCCGCTGGCGTCTCTGTGGCTACCAACATGTCTTGCAAGTAGGTAGTTTGTGCGGGCGTGAACCCACTCTTTGACTTCGGACGTGAACCCTTTCTAGGACTCTTAGTTTTTTTTTTAACTCTAGTGTACTAGTAGCACACGACGGCTCCACCTGTCACAGCGTACATGCACTATTCATCACCAACCTCTGTAACCAAGTTATATGAAATATATAGATACCATACCGCGTGTTTGTTACATGGCAGGCTGACCTCACTGAGACTGAACATACTGAATAATCCCCACTACTTCAGAAGGTTTAACATGACTCGCACGAGAGGCAACATTTTTCAGCTCGCCAAGCCTCACTGTGCAACAGACAATAGGAGACGTTCTCACCCTAAAGGAAAGTAAACTCTTGTAAGCCTTCCCGCCAAAGCCGTGAAAGCCACGGCCACTAAGACAGTAATCCAAAAGACAATCGTGGGTAAATATTTCCACAATGAGGGCGTGAAGCGCCTGATGATGATGGGTTCGTGGCTGGTGTTGTAGAGGATGGACTGGCTAAGGTTGATTAACTTCCACCAATCGGCCATATAACTGAAAGGAGCCACTCGCCACACACACAATCCATATAATTGCCAACGTGACGTCATTGGTGTCTTCCATGACCTCGCAAGTCAAATCAATGTTCGCAGTTCAGGCGTACTACAGCCTAATCGGAGCCTCGCCCTTGATTTAGATTTCATGTCACCCATTCTTTCGCTCAGCATCCTTCATCTAGAAGGTCAAGCAACATTTTGTTACAATTGACATTTCTGCACGTTTAGCTAATTTTAAACTGCGTATCATGTATGTTTATCATACCAATATGTTGTTCAGCTGTTAACTACACAATTAAGTCCTTTAATGAAAATTCCTGTATCAATACATTTTGTCATTGATCATTTTAACAGCGAACAAACATTTACAGATCATAATTATATTTGTCCACGAACATTGAGTCCTAAACGACCTGCGTCAGTGGGTTTATATAAATTGTGTACCTACGATTACTCCTCTGTATCATCTTTCAAATGAACTTATTAATAATTTGTATTTATAATAATTATTATTAAATGGCCAAATCATTCCACATCCCATCCTTCCAACAAACTCCCTCCTCCCCGGAACCCGCGAGGGAAATTAAGGATGAAACAAGTTTATTGAGGTATAAATGCACACAAAGGGATGGGGGCAGCTCAAGCTATACGCACCACGTTCTCACAACATGTTCATGTATACAGGTGATGAATCACAGTAACGTGGCTGATAAAATGTTGACCAAACCACACACTAGAACCCGAAGAGACGACGATTGATTTGATTGTTGCCGCCGAAGGCGGCTAGTTTATTGTGCACCCCATACTCATCCTGTGAGCGGTAGCGCAAAAGCATTACAGAGGGCACAAAAGGTCTTTATCAGACCTCATCTTAGATTATTACATAAACAATTTCATCTATCCTTCACACCTTTTATAGTTACAATGTCAGCTAGTTACAGAGAAAGTGCTATTTCAAGAGCTATATATTTACAGTAAGTCATCATACATGAATGGTAGGTCTTATCGCTAATACATAATAATTTGACCAATGGGGATATTACAGAGTCATAGGGGAGCATTCTGTTTATTATTAGTCCTCACAATACACTACTTGTTTCTGAATCTCATATGTCGTTCATCTACTGGAAGCGAAATGTGGATACAGTGACAGTTGTGACACATCCAGGCTATTTGTTTAGCAACAGTCCGTTTCAAGGGTACAGAGAACACTCGTATTATTTCTGTATTCATTAATCAATGGGTGAGGATGCGAGCCTAACACACCTCATAATTTACACTAGTTTTCATTACGACCTGTTCCATATTCCCAATTATATTTGTATCCCGTCCGTGCCACACTTGCACGGTCACTCCAAACATTATTAACTTCTCCCACTTGGGCAAGACGATAGAGCGACGGTTTCATTTCATGCAGGTTTGGGGTCGATCCCCGACCGTTTAAGTGGTTGGGCACCATTCCTTCCCCCCCCCCCCTCCCCGTCCCATCCCAAATCCTGACCGAGAGAGAGAGAGAGATTAAGCCACCCAAAAGGTGGCTTGGGCATGAATAGCCCATAAGTGGTGGCCCTCTTGAGCCATTTCCAGTATCAATAGATGATACTGGAGATCTGTGGAGGTGCGACTGCACCCTGCGTGACGGGAGATGTCTCCCGTCAAATCCTGACCGCTTCCCAGGGCTTATATAGTCGTAATGGCTTGGTGCTTTCCCTGATGGTTCCCTTCCCTTCCGTACGCTGTTGTTGTTAAAGATTTGCTACCTGGAACAAAGTAGAACAGAGAACAGCCCGGGCTCACCATAGCACGGGCTATGGTGAGCCCGTAGATTCCGTAAGCGTAATCTGTGTTCTTATTCGCGTTTAGTGTTTCATAGCTTAATTTTTCACACATATAGCCTCTTCTCACTACTTGCCTGAGGCTGAATATTTCTTATTTTGTTTTTTATTTGTTTCACGATTAAAACACAATATCAAGTTGTGGTACATTTGGCCAGCTCATGAGCCACCTTGTTGAGCACTGTTGCAATGAGAGAAAATCCACATGAATTTCACTTTTGTGTCCTTTTAGTTTTATCTTGCCCTTGTCTAACATTCCTCAGCTATGAACATGAAGAATAGATTTCGACTGTTTAATGAATCGTGTGTGTTTCTCGGCTGTCGACAAACACGAAAACGTCTTTATCGTCTTGAGCTACACATCCAAACCAGCCAGAATGGCCCGCAATTCAGCTTGTATGAATGAAATTAATTTAGCAAGTCGAAGCGTTACTGTCCACAGTTCCATTCTCAATGTTATTCCCTTATCAAGACACCACACCCAGAACCCTGACGGAGGAGGACGCGTGATGATGTGTTCCCAGAAGCCCCAGGGCGAGCCAGGAGAACTTGATGCTGGTAATCAATATGTGACAAGGATCCCCTTCTGTGATAGATCTACATCCTTACGCAAGGTCCTGGCGGTGTAGTCTGGGTTTGATTAAAGCGGGGGAGGGAGGGAGGGAAGCGATGATGTATACAATATAAATGTTCGTTTACCTACTCCCTAATTTTGCATTTTATTTGCAGGTGAACATGAATGACATGTGAGTGGACCAGCACAGCTGTGAGTATGCTTCTGTACTGACTATTGAGGACCGCGCTCACCTGCCTCCCTACTCTTTACTCGGGTCAAGACATGTATCTTGCGCTAACTCAAAATGGTAGGGACGTAGTTACGCATGGTAGATTGGTAGATGTCGGTGTCAGGACAGTAGTTTCGCGTAGCCGTAGACTTGAATGTTAGGGTTAGTCATGCATCGTTAGACTGTTATGGTGGATGACCAAGAGTAATTATATATTCTACAGGGTAGTTATGAGCGCCTTTGAGTGCCTACCGTTTTCTTCTAATTAAACTAATACGAGATGTAGCTATGTTGATCCGTGATCAATAATTTAGGTGTGAAGAAGTTGTAGTTGACACGCCATACATCTTTACTGTTGTAACTAGCAGTATAGTATAAGGCAGACTTCAGAGTGTAGGACTGTAGCCAGCAGTAAGGGTTGCTACAGTGTGTAGGACTGTAGCCAGCAGTAAGGGTTGCTACAGAGTGTAGGACTGTAGCCAGCAGTAAGGGTTGCTACAGAGTGTAGGACTGTAAGGGTTGCTGCTGGCTACAGCAGCAATAATAATAATCCTTAGTCTGGTTTGTTTGGGGAAAGGAATTCTGCTTTAGGCTTATCCAAGTCCCCCCCTCTGTCTAGGGCTGAGCCGACGACAGGAAGCGTACAGTGGATTTACCTAGGCTACCGCAGGTTAATGATTGATTTTTCCCTGAATTTTCCTTCCCCCAGGATGCAACTGGGAGATTGTTAGTCTCCTAATATCCAAGTACTTATTTACTGCTTGGTGAACAAAGGCATCGGGTAAAAAGAAACTTGCCCAACCCAGACTTTTTGGTTACGACCCAACTGCGCTGACTACTGCATGACCCTTCATTATTATTCTAAATTATGATAGGATGTATTCCTAAATAAGCCCCATTTCTGGCGTTTGTTTGGTTAGGACGAGACTTGCATCACATTCGTTGAGTAGTTAATAAATGGAATGCATTAGGCAGTGATGTGGTGGAGGCTGACTCCATACACAGTTTCAAATGTAGATATGATAGAGCCCAGTAGGCTCAGGAATCTGTACACCAGTTGATTGACGGTTGAGAGGCGGGACCAAAGAGCCAGAGCTCAACCCCCGCAAGCACAATTAGGCGAGTACAATTAGGTGAGTACAACGTCTAATCGTTGATTGGACGTTGTGATGCAAGTCTCGTCCTAACCACACACTCAGACCTAGATGAAACACTCAGGAGAGTGCGAAAGACACTAAATTCCTTACATAAATTTCACAATACACAAGTGTGGGTTTTTATTCCATGTTATTATGTCTGTGAGAAGACATTACCATTAAAAATAATTAATAATAATAATAATAATAGTGTTCCAGTGCCACCATCATCCTCTAGGGGCACAGTCCATCCATGACACAGCTATTAACTCTCATAAGAGATTCCAGAAAATTGTTTATGGCTCTTCACAGTTTGATAAGTTTAATTCAAAGAAAATATATCAACGCTCAGTAGCTGTGAACGGTGTTGGTCGATATTTGTTCGTATCACTGAATCGATACCCAGCACGGACATTTCTCGTTCTAGCCAGGGTGGCCTTGGCGTGAAGTATTCAGCACCAACCTTATAGCGTTCCCCTCCCCTTCCCGACCCGAGGCTATCTGTAAATCCGCTGCCAGAGTCATTACTTCCCATCATCGTCTGACAGTTGCCGTACCCCTTGTCTTTAATAATAATATTACAAATAGTTTTGTTGAGGACAGGAAGCCTGTGTGCAATTACTTAAGTGTAGTTACAGGTCGAGAGCTACGCTCGTGGTGCCTCATCTTCCCGACACACTCTGTCATATAACGCTCTGAAATTACTTACGGTTTTGGCCTCCACCACCTTCTCACCTAACTTGTTCCAACCGTCTACCACTTTCTTTATGTATATATGTATTTAGGCTTGTATCGAGGTCCTCCCGAAGGTGGAACTACTGACCCAATACTAGTTCCCTAACTCCTGGGTGTGTATTTGCTGCTAGATGAATAGAGGCATTAGACGGAATGAAAAGTACCCCAGTCATTTCTGTCCCGTTCGGGAATGGAATCCTGGATCCCGATTGTCAGCACTGGGTCTTGTTCTCTGCCGCCGCAATGCTGGATGTTGTTTTAGATTCAGCTACTGGGAACAAAAAGTTGCAAGTATCACGGGCTATGGTGAGCCCGTAGTGGATTTACCTGACACATGAGCGGGGGTGTATGCGGTCTCTCACACGACCGCTCTGGGCAATGCAGGGTCTCGTCCTGCTAAAGACCCCCCTGCCGCGAATTCGTCACTCCTGACATGTCAAAATCCTACCGCCTCCACTATCTGTCCAGCGCCTGTTGCCGCCTTCACTGTTAACAGGGCAAGATACTACGGAATGTTACCTCATTATGGTGTATCTTTACTGTGTGTACACAGTCTGTGCATGTCTGTAATCTTACTGGATTAAAGCGTGTATACAGCACTTGTATTACGTATGCTATTACATGTCAGTACTTGTGGACTAGAGAAACACTACATTATTTGTTATTTAATTAATGGGCCAAGGAAATGAAGAAATTATCATAGTGTTACGTCAGTGTTACATATTAAAAACCTCACGAGCCAAATGAATACTGATAGTGAGCATTAATGTTTGGGTTAATCCTTGATTATTTTAATTTGTGAGCCTCCACCCCTCGATGAAGATATTTGGACTGGTTGGTTTTCCATTAGCGATGACAGGAAGCCTGTAATGTTTATAAGAGGACCTCTTGGCCAATGACTGATGATGTAACCCACAACGGTTGTCCAACTGCTTGGTATCTGTTTACTGCTATGTGAACTGAGGCAGCTGGTGTAATGACCAAACCACATAACAGAAAATGGAGAAACAACGGAGTTTCACACAATAACGTGATGCATCAAATGAACAGTCAATTAAGGCAGCGTCTGGGATGCTCTCGGACGCAGGTTCGAATCTTCGTCACGGCCCATGTGGTTTTGTTCAACGGAGTTTCCTTTCATCTAAAGCAGCAGATGAAAGGAAACGTGCCGACTCGTTTCTGGTCTGCCCTGGAACTGAACCCTGAATCTTCAGTTCTTATTACTTGTACATAACCAAAAAATTCACTATGTTTATCCATGGTCATGGTTTGTCTAGTCTGAAATTGTAGCTCCTCGTATCGGTTACATTAGACCTTTTTAAAGGAGAAGCCTGGGGTAATGTTTTGTAATTTGTTCACTGTTTTAAAGGTCTTGATGAGATGTATTTTTTCAGTACTAATTTAAGAGTTAGTCTCCGTGAGTATTGGGACAACAGAATCCCTCTTGTAATAATCCTATATAGAATACATCATATTTATCAAACTGTTTCTTTGCTTTGAAAACTAAATTTTTATATATATGTTGAGAAACTCTGACAATCCTCCCATGTCATTGATGTGTGCAGCTCGGTGGGAGACGGTGTTGGAGACCCAGCCAGTGAGGAGAGTATGGATGTATCAGAAACCAGCAACAGCAGTGGAACATTAGCCAACCAATCGCCACTTTCAGATCACATTCCCAACACCATTTACAGTTTTGAACCTGGTGTTCGTGATCCTCTACGATTCCCTATGCAGGTAAGATAACAAAATGTTGTACCTGGTACATCACTACACATGTAATTTTTTGTTCTGCTGGAAAGTAATTTGTCATTCTGTATTACCTTGGCTATTAAGTTTTGTCTGTAATCAGATTGTTTGATGTTCCTCTTGCTTGTTTGTTACTCTGAATTTATGGAGGGGAAGAGGGATAGATTAGGGAAACCGGTTACATATTGAAAGCCTAGTTAAGGATGAGACTATCCATATAGTCACCAACCAGCTACTAGCCAGACCCAACAGTGTTTGATACATCGTCCATTCTTTATTGTTGATCAATAATTCTTACTAGAGGAGTACTCTGCGGTGTCCAGGATAGTCTCTCCCCCCTCCTCTCTCCACGTATCCCTTCCCCTCCCCTCTCCTATCTTTTCGCCCCCCCCCCCTCCTTCTCTTCGCCCATCAGGCCTCCAACCTCAGACACAGACATTTCCATTTATAGATATAATTCACTAGAAAAGGATATCAGCAGTGCCTGGGCATCTGCTGGATACCCCCAGCAGAGGGGGATAGATGTGTCTCCCCTTCTCTTGTTCTGTCTCCCCCCCCCTGTCCTGTTCTCTCTCTCCCCGCTCTCTTGTTCTCTTTCTTCCCCCCTCTCTTGTTCTCTTTCTCCCCCTCTCTTGTTCTTTCTCCCTCCCTCTCATTCTCTCTTCCCCCCCCCCTCTCAAACTGTGTGAACAAAATTATTCGCACACCCTCCGTCACTGTGATGGAGTGCGAAAAGATACGTGAATTCAGAGACAATTATATAACCAATGTTCCAACGATGTGTAAATATTTCATTCAAAATGATCTGCTACCTGAAATTTTAGCCATATATCACCAGTTTGCTAACTGTAGGTAGCAATCAAGTGATTGTAACCTATCCACCGCTGCTCACTGGATGGGGGCGGTGTGCAGGACAAACATATCAATTGTGACATTAGCTCACTTAGGGCGCTGACAGCTGATTGAACAGCGCCAGGGAGTTAGACAACTGCTACGGGCTGCTTCCTGGGGAGTGTGTAACAAAAAGGAGGCCTGGTCAAGGACTGGGCCGTGGAGACGCTAAGCCCCGAAATCATCTCAAGATAACCTCAAGATAGCTCTCCACATATGTCAGTTGCTTAATTTAGAAACTGTACGGGTGGTCGATCTCAAACCCATTGATGACGTGAAGACTTGTACTGAATTTTGTAACTAGCTCATCGAGATTGTAACTTGCTTAGCTAAATGAATTGTGGGGTTCAGTCCCCGAGCCCATTGTGCCTCCAGCCCTTTCCACTACCCCCCACAAGATGGGTATGGGGTGCATAATAAATGAACTAAACTAAACTAACCCACCCCCCCTCTCCCGTTCTCTCTCCAGTAGGCAAAACTTGCTCGAGTAAAGTTAATTCAGCATTATTGATTTTGAATTTGCGTTCAATCGACGTTATCAACGTTGAATCAGAACTGAACATAAGAGAAATACTGTAATATTGAAAGCACTATATGGGAAATGAAACCCATATTTCAGACGCAATAGGAGTCATTGGTTTTTGCCATAGGAGCAAATCCTCCTTAAATATAGACATGGGAGTAGACCCCCCCACCCAAAGCCACTCGCCATACAACCACAAAAGTTGCACAAGGCTCACTGCAACTATCTTGTCTGCAACCTTGAACACAGACATTCTATATTAGATATAGATTGGGTACCTGGCTGCACCTGGATCTCTCACCCTTTTACCCTCTTAACTGCATCTCCCCATCTCCCCTCCCCCTCTTTCAAAATGTATTATTAATTAGCACTGAAACATCCGAGTCTCTGAAAATATATTATTACAATCACAAAAAACTCTTAGGGAAAGTACATCAAAATTTCACACTTCATGAAAATTTCATGGAAGTGTGTATATTTCCAAAGATATTTAACTTCTTGATCTTGAGGTTATCTTGAGACGATTTCGGGGCTTAGTGTCCCCACGGCCCGGTCCTCGACCAGGCCTCCTTTTTGTTACACATCGCCAGGAAGCAGCCCGTAGCAACTGTCTAACTCCCAGGTACCTATTTACTGCTAGGTAACAGGTGCATCAGGGTGAAAGAAACTTTGCCCATTTTGTTTCCGCCTCCACCAGGGATTGAGCCCAGGACATCAGGACTACGAATCCGAAGCGCGGTCCACTCAGCTGTCAGGCCCCCTATCCACTTAGGCTGACCCTAAACAGCCCCATGTCCATCCTATACCCCAGACCATTTTTCCCTGCAAAGTTGGGTGAGGATAGCCCCTAGTGTATAGGCTCCAACCTTAGACATGGAGACATGCAGACACACACAGACATGCAGATATGCAGTCACACACTGACATAGACATGCAGGCAGGCAGGCAGGCAGGCATGCAGGCAGACATGCAGACAGATAGGCAGGCAGGCAGACATGCAGACATGCAGACAGACATGCAGACAAGCAAGCGAGCAAATACATTTTCTCTTAAACAGGCTGTTGACTACTGGACATTACAATATTTTTTTTTCTCCAGAACGGGCGGCTTGTAGGTGCAGCTGTGGAGGGTGGAATCTCGCCTTTAGGAGGAGGGGGTGCTGCAGCTGCTGCAGCACCTCATCGAGGACATAAACCTTCCCCTTTCAATCTCTCTCACCTTGAATACACTCTCCCAGATACTGAAATTTATGAGCCTGAAACAGGTAACATTATTGTATTTAATTTGTACAAGTACAACATGGTATTGTGAAATTGTAGTTAATCTACATACAGTATATACTGTACCATATTTATGATTTCTGTGTCAATATTTAATTCAACTGTCCATTCATTATTATAGTATACTAAACAAAACAAACTTCTTAGGATAATTTTTCACTGTATAAATAGTATGTGAGAGTAAAATTTAAATCTTACGGTTGAATGGCAATGTGTAGTGCTCAGTACACCACCGTTGTATCTCGATATGCTCGGTACAGTATTTCAATGTCAGTATTCCCCCCCTGATAATTATAGTCATTATCATTCACCAAAACACCACCCAAGAGGGTTCTGATATTGGCAGAACATAGGGGTTAACTAAACACAGCTAGGTGTAAATCTGTGTTTAACTATATACACTATTATGTTATTATACTAATTCATTGTGTCGAGGAACAGGAACTTGTATAGCAAAGGTAAATGTATAGATGTGATAAAACAAATTGAATGTAAGGAAAAAGCTTGAATTATTCATTGGACTACTGTACCATAATTTCTTGTGTTCTTCCTACTGTTTTGATGCTGTATTCCTACTCCATCAGTGGACTTCCCCAACTCGCCTACTGCTCTACGATATATGGTACATCCTGATAATGACTGTACTGGTGTGCGTTTGGCAGAAAGAGAGGAAACCACACAACCATCTGTTACACCCACAGAAGAAGAGCGATCCGTATACACTGCTGTAGTCTCACCACCCACTGGTCAGGTCACTCTCAGGAAAGGTAAGACTTAAAAGCTACAGAATATGCATGTTGAAATAATGAACGGTGTCACACTTTTGCATGTTTAAAATAGTTCTGGTGAACATTTAGTAGATAGAGTATCACCGGTATCCTTATTTTCATAAAGCATGAACGTCTTGCTTTATTTTGAAATTTAAAACAATTGTTTGATCATTGTAAGTCTCAGTTCTCTCCATTGATGGGAAAAACAATGCTGGCAAATTATGAACAATGTATGCTCGAGAGGTAATTAATCATAATCGGAAGTTTGGCCAATTTGTGATCTACACGATTATCTCGGACATGAAACAACTAAATTAACTCTTACAGGTGGTTAGTCACTTGCCAACTTTACTGTATCTGTTTTCATGTAATGTAAATATGGTTATCATACATCTATGTACACAGTTGTAATAAAGTTAACCAAGAGCCATGGTAAAGTTCTGCAATTTTTTTTTTTCTCTATATACAGTATTCAGTCACATTGTCAATTATTTGTACATAAAACAATATTTTGGACATTCAGTAACTTGCATTAACAAGTAAGTGAAGCCATGAATATAAAAAATGTTATCCAACTTGATCTTATGAGTACTCGCCCCTACAACACAGTTGGCACACTGCATATTTAATTCGGTATTCACACACTCGTAGGCCCCTCCACCCAGCAGCTGCGTACACCTCGCGTAACCAGAAAATTGGATTTTTATTCCTTTTAATTTCTTTTTGCATGTGATGTATCTCACTATAAGTACATTGTATCACATGCTGCTAATTTTTCCTTCACTACATACACTATATTTCTTCCAGTTACCCCTCTTCATTTCCTCTCTTTGCACATGCACTCTTATTTTACTTGCCTATGCATTATTACATGACATATCTTCAAATTTTAAATCTTGCATTAATTTTTTTTTCTACAGAACGTCCATCCAGCCTTGAGGTAAATCGCAAAAAACGTCTTACAGTGACTGAAGAATTACTAACTGTGGCAGTTGATGATGACCAGCACTCCATATCTTCTCTCAGTCTACACAGTGATGATGATGATGATGATGCTCAGATGCTCTCTCATGATGAATTTACAGACATGCTCACACCAGATGACATTGATACTCCAGATGAGTTGGAAGAGTCCATAATGGAAAGTGAGTTGGTTCTCATTACTCAGTCTTTTAAAGCTAAAGTTAAATGTATTTAAAGTTTAAATGTATTTGTATAAATGTAAAATTTATATTTATATTGATATTAAGCCACAATTTCCAGTGGATTCCATTTGTCATTACCGAAGTGTAGTTACAGGATGAGAGCTGCGCTCGTGGTGTCCTATCTTTCCAGCACTCTTTTGAGTTAAAACTAACATAGAAATTTGATCAAACCTAACCTACATAACATGCTCGTGTTCCTAATACAGTATAATAGTAATTCATGTTCCTAATACAATATTAATTGGAATAAACCAATTTTTTTTTCTGAAATAGTCCCTAGAACTTAGGGTGTATAAGTATACTGTATTTACCACAAACGTTTAAATAGAAAAGTTAGACGTATTATACTCCCCCCCCCAATGTCCATTATCTTGGCTTCCTGCTTGTATTGTAGCTCAAAATTAAAATGGTTCCTCTTTAATGAACTGATCTTATTTCCTCCCACATTTCAGGACTTGGACCTCAGCCCAGGATAGACCCACTGCCTGAATACACAGCAACACAGGAAGCCACTGAAGAAAGGTCATGGCGATCTGTGGTCATCTCTGGGATTGAGAGACGAATTGATATGAAAGTTAGTGTCAGAAGTCAGTACTTGTAAAGTGGCTAAGAATGGTCAGGTAAATACCTGTAATTAGATATTTGGACCTTAATAATACAAATGAGGACATGAAAATGGCCTTGTAAATGGTCTTTTAAATTTGATATTTGTAATCTTTTTATTATAAATTAGCTGTCATAATTTGTTTTTAATATTTTAATCAGCATATTACTGAATATGTAAGAGGACTATTTAAAGTTAAATGCCTTCATTACATTATTTCCGTACATTGTATCATTGGTGTATTTTACCTGGAGACGAGCCAATTTTGAAACACTAGCCATGTAAAAGCTCAAGACCTTTCATACATGCAAATATTTTTTTGATCGATTAGAAAGAAACATGAAAAGTCAAAATGACACAAGGGTAAGAGAGAAAAGCAAACATATTACTTGAAAAGAAAATGTGAAGGTTGAAAAAAATGGCATAGACTACCATGTGACACTGCAGGGGGTGCCATCATGAGATTAATGGGGGGGGGGGTAAAACTTTTACTAACCCCCATAGCCAATAGATCTGATTTCATAATTGTATATTAATATATTTTTTGTTTCATAACATTTTACTATTGTTTATTTTCATAATTTACTGATTTAGTTTTCGAATTTACTTGAGTCATTCGTATGGTGACTGTTCAGTAATGCATTATTAAAGACATTTCTGAAATTTTATTCTCAACACAATATAACTTACATGTATTTTTACAGGTAATTGAGCCATATAAGAAGGTGCTAAGTCATGGAGGTTATCTCTCTGGAAGCAATGAAGCCGTCATAGTCTTTTCTGCATGTTTCTTACCCGACAGGTCACGCAAAGATTATGATTATGTTATGGACAATCTTTTCATGTGAGTAATTTGAGGATCCTGTTAAAGTAATAATATTGAATACAATATAATGGGAGTCCTAGGATTAACTCGAGAGCTCTAGTGGCATCCTGTGTTTTATGGAAACTTTTAATGCAAAACCCATAATGTGATTGCATTAACTTTGTCTACTCTTGCAGACATATTCTGGGGATAATGGCATTTTCAAACAGTTTCACTTGCCAAATTTTCTTTTGATTCAACTTATCCTCCTTTACTATCTTTTCAGTCACATGGTTCACTTCTGGCACAAAACCATTGTTTTTAATTACAGTACTACTAATAGTTTTTTTTATTAATGGTCAGTCCTATTCAACAGTCTTCTCAGTCAAAGCTTAGGGTATATATTAGAATACTCATATCTGTAGTCACTGTTCCATCATTCCATCCTCCTACCCATCAAAATGCTATATATTTTATTGATATCGACCAGGAGAACCTTACAGTAGATATTTTTTGTCATCTGGATATTTCTCATGCCTCTGCCTTTATTTTTTAAAGATAATGCCTAACCTTCCTAATGATGTGAATGAACCAACCATTGTTTGGAGGAATCTGTAATATGAAGGTACAGATTTTATAGAGCCCCTTGTATATCATCTACCTAACAGGTTTAGTTCACTTCATTTTATTTTCATCAGATTATCTTGTTAGTCTTTTCTTCATAATTTTGTTTACAGTATTCAGCTCCATATTTGTTGTAAATTGAATGCTCATTTTATTTTATTCTTCTATTGTACTTTTGTGTTTTATATATGCTTTCCTGCATTATACATATATACAGTATTAATTCTGTTTCAACATTAATTCATTACTTTTACAATACAGTTTTGCCTAATATTCCTTGTGTATATAGGAACTGTATAGTAATAAAAAAAAGATGAGAAAAGAAAGTGGCATTCTTGCTTCCCATAATGGGACCTTTTTCACAGTGGTTTTCATCCTCGGCTCATAACCTAAGAACGCAGGTTATATTCCCAGACAGCCCAAACAAGTGGGCTTGTTTTATTTCCCCCGATACCTCTTCTGTATACTTAGCAATAAATAGGTACCTGGGAGTTGGGCAGCTGTTGTGGGTTGTATCCTGGGAAAGGTCATCAGTAGTTGACTTAGGAGGACCTTGATAAACTGAACAGGCTTCCTGCCCCTTACTATGGGAAACCATAAAGTGAACCAACAATTTTTTGCTAGGTTTATAAATGTATTTCTAAAAATTTTATTTCTTCATTTCTCAATATCTTCAAAAGCTGCAGTCATAATGATTCAGTTTTTCTGTTAGTATCTTTTGATGCTTTTTCATTGCTTTCTAAGTTTGTATGTGTCAGTTAATTTTATCTTTCATGTTGCTCTGTGCCCACATTTCTGAACTATGACTTTTAAAGTCTTCTAAGCTTGGCACTAGCATAATAATACATGGTTACCATTCAGAAAATGCTGCCTTATTATCTGTTGAAAAATAATGACCATGGTATAGAGTCTGCCAATTATTGGAAACAACTTGGCATATAATGAGAGCAACCATTTAAAATTTGTTCTTCTTCTTCCTTGTATTAGTCATGTTAAAAGTGTCAGTTATTTTACCCTTCTTCACCAGACTACAGTAAATCTTCACACACTCACGATACATCTGACAGTAAGATGTTCCATGCATGAAGATGAAGTCACAATAACGTGGCTGAAAAATGTTGACCAAACCACACTAGAAATTGAAGAGACGACAATGTTTTGGTCCGTCCTGGACCATTATCAAGTCGATTGTGAAACGTCATCGTCTCTTCAATTTCTAGTGTGTGACTTGGTCAACATGTTCCATGCATTTTCAGTACAAATCCAGGGTAACTATTCATGCCTGTACAAGCCAACTTAATCATATATATATATCCGTACAGTTCAATAAGTATACAGTACAATCAAATTACAATAACATTTTTTTTAATGCAACAGGTATGTATTAACGACTCTAGACCAACTGATTGCCGAAGACTATGTTTTGGTCTACCTACATGGTGCCACAACACGAGGAAACATGCCATCATTTGCGTGGCTCAAAGTAAGTACTGTATTGTACTGTATTTATTCATTTGATTATTCATTTACCAAATGTGATACATTAAAGACAAAATCATGACAACATTTTGGTTAAACATGGACCAACATTTTGGTTAAACATGGGTTTATTTATTTATTTACTCACTCAAGTCAGAGTAAATAAATAAATAAATAGCTAATTTATAATTTTCATGGGATGGGGAGCCATGTGCTTGGAGAGGCTATGCGAGTAGAATAGCAAACATTGGTCAATACATTTAGTTAGATTTATTCATTCATAATACATTATTTAACATATTTGAAAGCAACACAAATATCCAGAAAATCACATTACAAATTATACATATCTTTCTGCCACTCCTTCCCAACAAACTGTTTCAGTTCAGTTTTATATATTCTCACAATTTGTGCCATTAGCACTCAATTGATGCTTTCTCAGACATTCAATTACCATATCTTCCAATATTTTGCTTGACCTTTCTATTCTACCCTTAAATATACTCTCTTCAGCACACTATCATCCATTCATTTAAAATCACTATACAGTACCATCTTTGCAGACTTTACCGATTGTAATTTTCAAAAACTTTTCATATTGCGTATTTTATCTATGCTAACATCCCAGTAAATTATCTTAAATACATTATCTTAATACCTCTTCATGGATAGTAGGCCTTTTTATCTTCATAAAATAGGATATTCTTTCATTTCTACACTAAATTTCATATTCACATAGTCCCTATTATTTCCCATTCTCCTTTCAGATAATATTTTTTAGTTTTCAATTATTTATCATTTTACAATTTTAAGTGTTATGAGAATTATTGGCATTACAGATATACAAATCAGAGTTTTAAAGATAATTGTTAAATAAACATCCCAATGTAGATATGGGAAAGGGCTTGCATTATATTAACAAATAATATACAAGATTAGGTGCTATTAATTGTTATTTCTGTACTTTTTAACAGCGATGTTATCAGATGATTGATCGACGGCTACGTAAAAACTTACAAGGCCTGTACTTAGTCCATCCTACATTTTGGGTCAAGACAGTAGTAGTTATGACAAGACCCTTTGTGAGGTGAGAAAAATATGTTTTCAACTTGCTTTTGCTTTTGAACACCTTATGAAAATAGGAAGATACAATGATCAAACAAGATAGGCTATGTAAAGGAGTAATTTTAGGCTAGATGGCTTATAATGCAATACATCACTGGATTAAGTTGGAGGAATAGCTTTTCGATAGACCCATGGTAGTTATATTATGAGACCTTAAGAAGATAAAGTTGACAAGTCGATAAAACCTTAAACAGATTTAAAAATAAATATAATTTTAATCTAGGAATGCTTTTCTGCATTGTGTGTGTAATTTTCACAAGGAGTGCTAAGAAGGATGTCGGATTCATTACGGTTGTAATACCTGGGAATTTCTCACAGGACCTGCAATTGCTCATGGTACTTGCAACAGTTCACATTTAGTTCCCAAAAGAGCTAACAAGATACATGCCAGTGGCAGAGATAACCAAAAGATATAATACCTAACACTATGATATCGAATTATGTATTTGGTTATAGCTCTAACCAAATACTCGTTTCCAGACAGTTAGACTTCTGACTCCTGTAAAAATTATCAATGACATGCCATGATTGTGCCACTGATCTGCATCAGTGGTTATCCCACAATATCCCCACACTGTTATCCTGGTCCTATACAAGGACTTTGTGCATGAGTGCACAAGCATCATGTGCAGACCAGGTGATGAATCCACTCTGCCCTTTTTGTGCACAATCCTGCACATTAAAGACAGTGAATTTATAATTCTCACAGTGGTATATACTGTAATATTAGCTATGTTATCCAATAAACTTCTGAATAGTTAGCAAAGTACCATGCACCTACTACTGTTTGTATTTCCACATTATACTGTAGTGATAAGTGTGAATTTAATTAAAATATTAAATAGTTTAGGTTCACTAATAAGGAAGAGATCAGCTCTCTATGAAATCCTCAATAAAACAATCTATAAACATACTGACAAGAGATACTAAATTTAAATTTACAGATTTTTGCTACCTCTAGGTAAGTTTCTTGGATTAGTGAAGCTCTTTATTACCATCATCACTTGCAATGACATTCTGCACAGAATAACAATGACAGTAGGAAGCAATAATGTTAATTTTTGGTAGTTATGTACATTGTTATGCCCCACTTGCAAGGTCTTGCATTGTTTTTTATATTAAAAAGCACTTGCCAGTCTTCGCTCCTGTGAAGTTCGTCATACACCATCAGACATTAATTACCATTCTTGGACCAAGTATAAGGAGGTTACACATGTGCATGTAATTGCAAGCAATCCTTAGACACGAGTTTGTGCTGGAAAAATCACCCTTTCACAATTCTCATGATGTCTATAATTTGCAGCTTTGTTGGCCTTTCATGGCAATATATCTACAGCTGAACTAGGGGTTTCTAGCCATCTAACTGGGTGTTGGCCTCTCTTTATTTGGAAAATTGCCCTTGGCTGCACTGCATTTGTGTTGCACTTGAATGTCTGGTTTGGTGCGGAGTGCCTCTGGATTTGGCCCATCACTTTGACTGCATCTCTCCATGGGTAAGCTGTGACCATCTTTGTGTTTTGTTTTGAGTGTTTCTGCTCCAGATTTAAAAAAAAGTCTTCTAGGCTCTTGTGAGATAGCATTGGGAAGCTACTAAGGAATTCCTCTTAGAAACCCAGCATTAAATGTAATGAAGCACTTCTTTCTGGTGGACCACTTTGTTACTCAGTCCCAACATTGTCATCCTTTCCTATGGAGCTTGGGCAGGGAGAGGTCGAAATAGTTCATGAATGATCTGGCAGGTTGACAAAGACCCCGAATTCCCTGGGTTGTCATCTGGCGGTGGCGAGTGTATTGTATCTAGGTGATCTTAACCTGGAAGCAATTGTTTGCATCATTTTAACTAGGTAAAAACATTTTCTAAGCAGTTACTTGTTTGCAGCATAGTTACATTCTGGTGGGTTCTTTGCATAGTTTTGAAGTGATTTCTGATTGCCATGTGCCCTTTCACCTCTAGTGGTCCAGATTCTGGTCCTGGCTTCCTAGGTAGGTGCTCGTGGAAAGTATAGTCCTGGTGTTCCCAAGACTTAGTGATTAAGAGGTTGTAGCATTGGAGAGCTGGTGAGGGGGGTCCATCCTAGAGATTTGCATAAAGTACAGTAGAAAACTGCTATTTATGTTGGCAGATAATATATTCATAAGAATTTTCAGTATCTGTTACCCAAGTGTCGTTACAGGATGAGAACTACTTGTGGTGTCCCATAGTCTCGGTACTCTTTGACATGCAACACTTTGAAACTATATACCGTATAGTATTGGGTGCATTTTTTGTGGAATAAGTTTATACAGTGCCACTACAGTACTGTACATTAAAAATACAGAATAAAAAACTTAGTACAGCAAAGGTCAATTTTATATGTACTGTGTGCCTGTGTATTATACTGTATGTGGAATAATTAATTGTAAAACAACAAATTCTAATGTTTTTCCTCAATTTCAGTGCAAAGTTTGCCCGAAAGCTAAGATTTGTGAACAGCTTGAAGGAACTGTCCAGTCTCATCCCCATGGACCAAGTGTGCATCCCTGACCGTGTCAAACAGTGAGTTTCTGGTTTTGACTTCCTGTGTGTCATTTTCCAGTACCATTATAGAATATCATTCCTCCTCAACCTATTCTCAATTATTTCCACTTTTACAGCTAATTCTTGAGAAAAACTCATCATATTGACTCCATACATGGATCAATCAGTTTAATCATAAAATTAAAATTCCTTTTTGTTATTGGGCAGTACAGTATAGCTAGATAGCAACTATTTTTGTTCTTAATATTTTGTTCTATATATTTAGCTAAATATACAGTATTTTTAAAGAGGAAAGGTAGAATATTTCTGAGGAAGTCCCCCCAGAGAGTCCCTGAAGCTATCTTGCAGAGATTGCTCCATGTTAAAAGGTCACATCAGTTATAGAAGTTCTGCTGACCTACTGGGAGACCAGATCCCAACACATTGCACTTGTGTTGCCCTGGGTCAAGTTTTCCATTAAGGAGTCTTGTCTTTATTAGTTGTTTTTGCTCTCATCCTCCCTGATAAGTCCTATATTTTCCTTCTACTGTTGTCAGTTAGCTTCAGGGAGCCATCATTTGGCCCCTCCTGAAAATCAGCATTGAATGTAATGAAATGCATTTTTGGTAGGGCATCGGTAGCTCCCTGATACCTTCTCTGTTGATCAGGTGCATCGGTTTATGGTCTTTCAGTTCTAGACTGAGGTTAGGATGATGTGGCAGCCAGGAGCTTCTGGTGTGCTGCTACCTGTTGATGGCCAGCTATAATCCTCGAAGGTAAAGGGAATGTTCAACTTAACTTCTGACTGAATCATTTGTAGAGTTGTTTGGCAGTTCGTGCTTTACATTGTGAACCTTGCAGTTGTCTACAGTGCTTTAGCTATTTTTCTCGATTTTTTTTGGTGAGGGGCAATTGTAACCATCCCCCTGTACTCTGTGAGGGTGGGGGAAAAGCCCAGTTCTGGTAGGCCATATAGGACTGCTATGGCTGTGACTCGGTATTGGGAGCTACCTCAGTGTGCTAGCTTCAGGGAGCCACCAAGGCTCTACCAGAAGGAAGCCTTTCATTACAGTCAATGTTGATTTTTTAAATGAACGAGAAAACACATGAAAAATCCATACAAAAGTTATAAAAGTCATATTCCATAAATTCTGTATTAAATTAATCACATCTGCCCTCCTGACTACATACCTGCCTGGCGTCTGACAGCTGGGTGGACAGTGCTTCGGATTCGAGGTCCTGAGGTTCCGGGTTCAATCCCCAGTGGAGGCGGAGACAAATGGGCAAAAAGTTTTTCACCCTGATGCACCTGTTACCTAGCCGTAAAATAGGTACCTGAGAGTTAGACAGCTGCTATGGGCTGTTTCTGGGGGGTAGGGGTTGTAACAAAAAGGAGGCGTGGTTGAGGACTGGGCCGCGGGGGTGCTAAGCCTCGAAATCATCTCGAGATAACCTCCTATCTCCAAAGTGATGTTTATTGTACTCCAGTGACCTAGTTACAAAGCGTAAAGATTCAAGCTCAGAACCACAAGTGCACACTGATATCTTGGCAGGCACTGAAGCTAGACAAAGTGTGAAAGTCTGACTTGTATGTGGAAATCACTACTTCTTGAAACTTAGGTAGCAGCAGTAGGATGGGGAACGAGAAACCCTACCTTAGTATTCCAGATATTAAAAAAATTATTACCCTCATTACATCTTCCATACTACAGCATCACATATAAACCAGCATTGTCAAAATCCGGCAATAATGCACATAAACAGCAGGAGCCCCTACCTCTTCATACAAGTGCATCCCAAAGTTATCTAAAAAATTTCAAATATTCACTCTACCTAACACATTGATTATATCTATTTATATATGCAAATACAAGAAGGTACAATGGGTTTATGAGAATACATAACATTGATGTTTTTACATTCTTGTAAAACCACTAACACGCATAGCATTTTGGGCAGAAACACTATATCTAGGTATATCTAGCCTTGTTCCCCTACCACTTCTTGTTTGTTGTTTATACTTAATTTCTACTTCCTCACAGACACTGCATATTTTTGGCTTTTTTCCTTTTTCTACTTTCAAAGTCACAAAATACTTTTAATCACTCTACTATCATACATTCATTCCATATAACCTAATCATCTTGATAAACAATCCTCTCAATCACTCTTAGAATTTACAGATTTTTGTACACCACTTTTCATGATATCTTGATTTGTTTATCTGTTTTCCTAACCATTTAAAAGCTAACAGCAGCATCATGGATTGGCCATTTTAATATTTTAACATTGATTATGTATTGGTTTAATTTATGCACAGACTTTCTGCTTAACTGTACAAAAAATATTCTATGTATATTGTAATTATTCACTGATGTTTAATGTACAGTATATATATATATATATGACAATTATTTTGTTTGTTACAGGTACGATGAAATACGAGAAAGTTTACTTGAAAAGGCATGAGTAGGTAAGTGTTGGTAGACAAACTATAATTTTTTTCCAAAATTTATATCTGGCCATTAGTGACATGATAAAATGTGGTAATACTGTACCATATACTATGTACTGTATTAGGTTTTTCCTTACTGATGATTAAAGTATTTTTGTTAGATTACTATTGCATTGTTTGTGGCCTATACATTAAGTTTTAGATGAATTGCTGACTTCTTGGATCTGTTGGGGAAGGGAGGGGGAATTTTTACTTAATGTGATGGTCTTGAATAGAATCTTTATTAATTGAATAAAATACAAGGTCTATATTACCTCTCTAAATGAAGTTTAAATTCTTAAGTGCTAGAGGTACACTTTTGGAATTGTACAGAGTACTGTATAATACACCCATCCTCCAGAAATGGATGGAATGTACAAAATATGGACTGTTGGACTCATAAAAGTTAATTTTGTACAATTGGAATGCTAAATAGCAAACCAGAAAGTGGAACATTTCTAGTTTCAAACCTCAAACAAACCCTTGCCTGTCCAATGCATAATTAAGGAATCTTACCTGGGGTAACAAGGTAAATAAAGGGGTAGTACAGTGACAGTGTTCTCAACTCGGTTGAGGATCCTGGGTTCATTCCCCATGCAGGACAGAAATTGTGCATGTTTTCTTTCACCTGATGCCTCTGTTCTCCTAGTACAGTAGTAAATAGGTACCTGGGAGTTGAGACGATTGTTGTGGGGTTGCACCCTAGGGAGGGTCAGTAGTTTGACTTTATGGGTACCTTGATACAGGCCTAACCTTCATATACTGTACACACAGGCTTCCTGTCCCCGACAAAATTATTTATTATTGTTATACATGTACAGTACTGTACATAATAATGCCTAATAAGTAGGTTTATCTATCTATTTTTTGGGGCCTTCTACAAAATTAATAGTACAGAATAAAGTACATTTTTTGGGTGCAATAATCCACATTTTGTACTTTAATTCACAGTACCTATAGCTACTATAATTTTCCAATTTGAATAGGTATGGGTATACCCTGGTGAGGTCTGGAAGCCCTTATATGGCTTATCAAGATCCCCTTAACATCTCAAATTGCACTTGAGCAATAACTATGCAAGTGTGTGTGAAGCCTTTTGCCTTGTTGCAATTAACTTGACTTTTTGTTAAATGTAGGAGTCAAATCACTCTCAAATCAGAGGTAGATTTCATTACCTTTTGACTATCATGGGTCTTGTTCTTCTAAATCAACCTAGTCTGGACCAGAGGATTTCGGGAGTAGTTCTACTTCCTGAGCCCAGCCTGAGGCCAGGCTCGACTTGATAACTTGGTCCAGCAGATTGTTGTTTGGAGCAATCTGCAGGCCCACATATCCACTACAGCCTGGTTGGTCCGGCACCTTGAGGGTGGTCCTAAAAGAGAAATGCAGGTTTAGCATCATGTTTGTAACAGTGAATGCTACTGAATGTGATTTTTAGAGATCTGCAGCACTTCTAGATTGCAAAGGTTAATCAAAAGGGAATCTGTTTTTAACTTCAGCAGCCATAGAAATATTATACAGTACATCACTTTTCAACACTGGTGTCTGAAAATTAATAACTAGTCTACCATGCACATGTAATTTATGACAAGTCTAATAAGAGTGTCTGTAGTCTGTTTTTTTGAGGCAGTGGGTCACAAGTAGTTTTGAGTGAAGTAGGAGCAAGGGGTGTTGTTGAAATACTGGAACTTGACTAAGGTAGATAAACATATAAGAGGATATTTTAAATTCGAGTGAATAGTGTACATTTTAGCTTGTAGGAATGCTAGATATGTGCATTGGTCTTGTGATGTAAAAGGTAGAATGGGGATACACTACTCACGTGAGTAGTGTAACCTTAGGAGCACTCCAGGTGTACTGTGTTTGACACACTCCAGGTGTTTCTCTGCTGCAGAGAAACAAGTGTACAAACCTCATAACCCACAACCGCTTGTAGGTATGCTTGAAGTATAATGGTAATAGTACATTACTTACAGAGTAATGGTACTCTGAGTGAATGTCTGCTTCTATTGCAGAAATAGGTTGTAAATTTTGGCCAGAGCACCCATGCCAGCTGCAAGCATGAAGGAATGAAGAGCGAGACACGATTCCTCATGTGTATGAGCTATGATTATGATGGGGATCATTGGTGGCAATGGTTTGTTGCTGCATAGGGGTGATGACAGTGTCACTGTTATAGTTTTCAGGTGGGGAAGGAGATCGGAGACATTGTGGTCACTGTCGCTTGCATCTGGGCTCTGCACAAGAAGGTGCTTTAGCACACTTGGTGGAGGTAGGACGTGCAGGTGACTGTCCCTGTGTTGTTCTAATCTTGTCTGTTTGGAAAGGCATCATTCCCCCGAAAAATACAAATACAGTAGTGTTTTAAATCGATACTAGAACCGAGGAATTCTTGGGCAGTGGTTCATAATACTGTACTAGGTACTTACAGTACTTAAAGTTAAATCATTTTAATGTCATGCATAACAAAATTGACAATGCAAATAGTCTAATTCAAATAATTTGGTTCATAAAAAACTTAATATAGAACTGGCATTATTTTTCCAATGAAATTTGGGATAACATTTATTTTTGGATTTATAACATTAGTAGGCATAATGTTCTGGTGAGGAATAGTCCCTCACCAGAACATGGTAATTAATGTGTTCATATAAATATTAATACTTTAATGGTTTTTGTTTCAGTTCAGATGAGACATTTATGGAAGATTTCTATCCTGTTGTGGTATATGGTATTTATAAGATCTACCTGGCCAATACTCTTCAGCAATGCACAGCTACTGTAGCAATTAAGGAGCAACCCAAAGACTTGGGAACCTGTTCTACTTAAGCATATATCAGCAGTTGGATTTCCATTTTGTGTGTTGCCAACTCTATTGTAAGGTTAAAGTGCAGAGAGAACTATACAAAATAAGAAAAATATATCTATAATACTTGTACAGTACTGTGAATATAAAACACAACTTGAGAAGTAATCTGAAATTAGTTATTAAAGTGTTGCATCGAAAATACATGTACTAAAGACTTGTAGAAGTATACAGTACTCATTTCTCATGCTTCAGATCAAATTGTTGTCCTTACACTAAAGGTTGGGATTCTATGACAAATCAACCATTTATTCATGGCGAGTCGGTTCTTGTCAGAGCACAAAATGGACAATGTTAAAGTCTCTAGCAGCTGAAGCTTTATGGATCATTTAGGACAAGTGTTATAATGGTGGTGCTCATGTGTGCATTATTTAAATTTATATTTGTTATAATAAAAAGAAGTCTCTTATTCTTGGGTAATGAGAGACTAATGTGAATTGGTCTGTGGATGTAATGTACCCCACCAAAAAACCTGTCAAATAGTTATCTGTTAATATAAAAATATGTAGAGACGTGGTTTGTCTCGTACATGTTGAATGTGCTGTAAATTAGAATGTTGAACTCTGCAGATAGAAATGGCTTTTTCCAACACAGATACATGCTGCATACTTGTGGGCTCAACAACATTGATTACATAATTATGTAAATGTTATTACTATGTATACAGTACATAAAAGTAAATATATACACATATATTCAGATATGAAATTTATAACAATTTCTTATAATGTGGAGAACAGAAGTTCCTACTGGTAGAAAATGGCAAGCAGACACCAAGTGACATTCAGAAATAGATCATCATTACCTAAATACCACAGGGGAAAACACCAACTTTACATGCATAAATTGTGAACAAACAGAATTTGATGGGGTATGCATGTATGCTTAGTGAATAACAGATGTGTGCATTAAGCATGTGTTAAGAGTCAAATTATTAATACAGTACATGAAATATTGTAGCCTTGGTAATATATAATGTAATGCTTGTCATCACTGCAGGTGATTGGTAACCTATATTTAAAATATTAAGTTACAACTACACACACACTTCATTTAAGTTGCTCAGAGCAAAACTAAAGGCAGAAACATTTAATTATAGTGTATTCAACGTCCTCCAGAACTATGGCAATAATTTCACGTATGTAATTATGACTATGGCATACTCCTCCTTTGTATTACAGTGCAGGTATCTTGTTTTATTAAGGCTTCAGTTGCAGTTTGAGTGCAAAATACACTGTACAGTTACTAATATAAATGCATATTACCACTATACTTTACGATATTTTGTCATATTTAGTATTAAATAGTAAAGTATTATTTACTTTATTTTGTCATACGTAACTTGTGTTATTCCTTGGTGGGAAAATTTAATGTTAACATTAGGTCAATTGTGGAATAAATTAATGCCAATAATGTCCTTGGTTCCTTGGATATTATTTAATTTGTATAACAATCACAAACTACATCCTACCTTATGTATTGTTACTTATTACAATACAATTTATAAAATGTTATTCCATTAAGTCAAACTAAAAATTTAATAAATAATCAGGCAGTGATAATACCTAACCCCTTCAGTCTTTCTTAGGCTACAAGTGAAACTAATCCTTAGAACTGACATACTGTACATACTGTATTTACTTGTACAGTATTAACAGTTAAGAATTATGGATTGTTATATATAAATATTCTAAATAATTCTAGGAATATATTGAAGGAAAGCTTGGAATGAACTGAACTAAAAATGTTATCCCACTTTACAAAAATTATTTGTTCTCGCTAGAGATAAAAATGTAGTCGGGTGCAAATCGATCTGGATAAAGAGGTGGTGTTGGCTTATATTTCAAATGTACCTTCTTGGCTGTAAGTAGGTGGATTATCTGAACCTGGAAGTGGGGGGGTGCAAGTTTCAATTGTTACTAGAGTATTCCAAACATTAGTAACGTACAGGCAGATCTCACTAAACAAATGAGTCTCCTGAAAACTCTTAAATTATTAAATATTTGGGAAATGAAACCCATTTTTTCCATCAAATGCCATGGTTAAAGCTTAAATACGTACCAGACTCTGAATTTTCTATTGTTGAACAATAAACCATGGAATTCTCATAATAAAGTAATAAAATGTCAAGTGTGTGTGTGCATGTAATAATAGTGAGATTCGACTAATTGTAGTTCAGCTACAAATAACCACAGGAGCTGCGTCCCTTGCCAGAAACACGTTAAATGAACAGTCAATTAAAATGTTCAGGCTAGCCAGTCATGCTATCGAGCTAGACAGTCAAGCTACGTGGGCTATCAGACTTGACGGACTACTAGGCAATATAAACATGTTGCACATTAATATCCTGTTTGATTCCACCCACCCAAGTATATATTGCCTGCCATTGAATAATTTATCACAAGCCTAAAATTAATGCACGAGTCACCATACTTGTAAATATTTAAATGAGTAAGGCAAATACAGTATTGGGAACAACCCATTTCAATTTATCACACCAGTTTCCCCAATCCCTCCCCACTTTGATAAGGAAGAATTCCCCGAGACCTGGAACTTCAAGAACAAGAAGTCATAGATTTAAACTAATTAAAGCTGCCAAAGAAATAAGAAAATTCAATTTCGCAGAGTGGTAGACGGTTGCAACAAGTTAGGCGAGGTGGTAGAGGCCAAAACCGTCGGTAATTTAAGTGTTACATGACAGAGTACTGGGAAGACGGGACTCCAGGAGCGTAGCTCTTGTCCTGTACCTACACTTCGTAATTACCTAGGCTGAACATGATTCTCGCTTGTGGGTCACCGAGGACAAATGACACCTGCCTCTCCACAACAGTGTCATTGCCCCGGTAGCTCCCACAACTACATGCCAGCACCTACAGCTTGACAACCATTCTCTGACACACTAGAGGAAATATTTAGGGATGACCAGCAAGAAGCACAAGTTGTTAAAGATCAGAGTAGATGAAAACTGGCACAGGCGGATAACAATAGTGGCGAGCTTGGAATGAACTAACGTGCAAACAGGTTGCAGATACTGTAGTTGTAAAAGTGAGGAGCCATGTCACAGCCAAAAGCCACCATATAATTGAAAGTGGTAATTTTTTAAGATTAAAATAATTGGAGTTTTAAAGTACTGAATACATTAAAAACAAATATTTGTTGTGTAAAATTTGTTAAGTGAGGTTTGCCTGTAGTAGTATCCAGTGAATTACTGTACTATCACCAAGAGAAATGAATAATATGTGCAACAAATTCCTTAACTTCTAATTTTTTTAGGCAAGTTATTACAAAAGAGTTTCAAGAATTGGGAAACAAAAGGATACAAGAAAGGATTGAATGCCATTTGATATTTTAGTATGATGTATACATGCTCTTATGTCTTTTGTCATACAAGATTATGATTATTTATAAGTTACATGAATTTTGTAGTCATTCCCACCTTAAACCTTCATGTGTGTGTTGCTAGTTCACCCACAAGCTTAAAGTTTGGTTGAGGACACTAATGTTAACAATATTAACATTTTTATCTACTCACACTCTATTCACTTCATCTTCATTAAGAAGGTTAAGAATTCCCCCAAAAGAACACTGTACTTTTCCATGGTACAGAAAAATGTGACTGCTAGATTGCTTTTTTAATACAAATGATAAAAAATCCGACTGTAAATTACAGTATTTTAATTACTTTTACATACTCATTTAATAGATGTTGGTATAGTGTAAAAGTATACAGCCCTGTAAATACACATGATGATGGTCTTCACAGGCAAATAATAAAATCATTGTGATCTTGCAAACTCACTGAAGGAGAATGTTATTGTTGATTTTGTGAATAGTCTTCCCTAGATGATATTAGCACAGAACTGCTTCCCTCACTACCTCAACTGGTATTACTTCATATCATTTTGAGAAAATAGCAATCTGTACCATGTTGGCTGCATCTACTGTACTCTGATTCTGGATATTAACAATTTTTAGATACTTATTTCTTGTAAACTTCTCTTGTTCTGTAAGCTTTTATAGTAAATAGGGTCATTAAAAAATTGAAAGTACTGTAAATATATTTTTCTAGTGGATATTTGTTTCCAGGTCATGTTTTTATTTAAGATATCACTATCCAAAGCACTGCATTGTCTAGGCTTTCAAATTAATAGTTTACTATAATTTTCACAACAATTTCCCAATATAGTATTTCCCAATAGTATATTGGGAAATATAGTATATAATAGTATATAGTATTATATAATACAATATAGTATTTCCCAATATAGTATATTTCCCAATTTCAACAATATTCCCAATATCCCATTTCTATATTTTTGTAAACACCCGGTAACTATCACTGAATTACTACCGTTATGATATTATAAACATTATTATGAAATTGATTTGTGTGCATGCTGGTTTTTCTCTGGGTTACTTTTGTTCTTATACATTAACTGCTGTACAGGGACACAAGTTCTCTAGTCACATTACCAAGCCAAAAAATTGAAGGAAGCAGTCACCTCTGCCTGTCTTGTTTGAGCTATGTTGTATGTTAAATATTAATATGCAAAAGTCACTGGAGTTGAATTCTTAGTCCTATTAATTTCTTGTGTACATATGAAGTCCCCTACACTAAAGCCAGTAAATCATAAGTGATGCTTAATTTGTTATTTGTTGCAGTTTGAATAATGCTGTAAGCTTTTATTGGCACAAGCATAATCATTTTTGTTTACTGTAACACCAAAATGTTTTACAAATTATTTTGGCGTATGTTTAAATATACTAATCATTGTGTTCTCCATAAGACCACACTGATAAACATGCATGACTAAGAATTCAGCTGCTAGAACTGACATAGATTAAAAAACATATCGTGAAGTAAAATGGGAATTTGTTGTAAAAATTGTTGAATATTTCCTGCAAGATCACAAAGACATGTGATGAGTTGATATCTCAGTAGTAGTTAGTGTCATGGCAAGAAATGCCAAGCACCATCTCAGACCTTAAAGCTTAATGATATACTACAAGTATTTTAGATCACTATTTAATAGTCACAAGTCACTGAAATGAGCAGTGTTGCATAAACTATGAAGTTTCTGAGTTACATGAACTTGTATTATCCTATTTTGGCCTGTAATCCTCCAAGGTGTGAAAACTTCCTTGTTCCAGCATTGAAAGGTATACATGCAGCACTGGCAAACTACATATCTAGCTTGGCTTGCATCACATAACCATCTACTTGTGAAGGCCACCACTAGCTTCAGAAGGCAATATACCAGAACTGGAAAGCTCCCACACTTTGCTTGAGAAGGTGCTACACCTGATTAATACTGAGCACCTGGCTTAGAAAGGTCCCATTCCACGACTTGGATGGTTGCTGTCTTGTATGTGGGCTATATAAACAATAAAAGCCAACCAGTCCCAATATCTACTTTTTCACCTACAATACATATAGTTTGGGGGTTTGTTTGTATCATCTGACAAATACTGTATCCTCAAATGGTTTCATTAACCACTGTTGCATTAAGATGGTGCACATTATGCACCCCTAACATTAGTTATCCTTTTTTACACTACACTGAAGACTATTCCCAAATGTACTGATTAAATAAATCAGCATTCTAGGCATATAAATATTTTTGCAAACAAAATAAGTAAAATAAAATATATAATATACATATATGTCGTACCTGGTAGCCAGAACGCACTTCTCGGCCTACTATGCAAGGCCCGATTTGCTTAATAGGCCGAGTGATTTTCTTTATTTTCAATAATTTGTTCCAAATAGTTTATTTGAATTATTATTATTTTATATTAAGACCATAATTTATTGACTTAAGTTTTGTTAGTTTAGGTTAGGTTAGGTAGGGTTGGTTAGGTTCGGTCATATATCTACGTTAGTTTTAACTGAAATTAAAAAAATTAACATATACAATGAAATGAATAGCTTTATCATTTCATAAGAAAAAAAAATTGAAAAATATATAAATTCAGGAAAACTTGGCTTAAATTAGGCAAATCGGGCCTTGCATAGTAGGCCGAGTACTGTGTTCTGGCTACTAGGTACAACATATATGTATATTGTATACTTTATTTTACTTATTTTGTTTGCATTTTTTTTAATGCAAACACATGGTTTGGTTAACTTGGACATGTTATTGAATACATACACTGTACCATTAGATATTTTTTTTATTTTTTCTATATATGTAGCTATACAGTAGAGGAATCATTTGTGCACATACATTAAAAAAAAAAAATATACATAACCACAAACAACTTTGTAATGTTGACAAATTTATGAACGTCTGTAAACTCGGCAGTGCCTCAAAAATAAGCCCTACATATACTGTATAATTAGTTCAGAAACTGGACTAATTATTAATATACTGATCTCTAATGTGAATTACCTTCTTTAAAAATAACTTTTCAAGCTCCAAAATGAGTCATATTTCCTAAATTTTGGTACAATTTTATTTTATAGTTTGTCACATTTATGCGATTCATTTGGCTGCCCCTCTTCCTAACAGCTATGCTTTCCCTTTAATATACCATCACACTCCAAACACTTGCTTATTTATAGACTTCAAGATTTCTTGGGTTTGAGAGTGAATGTGTCACTGAATTGAAGCCACCCTTAGAACTTTTGCTAATAATTCACTGTGTCAAGGAACAGAAAGCCAGAGTGTATTCATACATGTTAGGCTTTTACCGAGGTTCCCCCCCCCCCTCTCCAGGATGTAAGCCCACAACAAGCTGACTAACTTCAGAGTACCTACTTATTGCTAGGTGAACAGAGACATTAGGTGAAAGGAAATGTACCCAACAATTTTTGTCCTGTCTGGGATTCGAACCCGGAATTCTTGATTACAAGTCGAGAACAAATTGGACTACTACCGGGACCCAGTTTCACTAAATATTTGTGGTAAACGTAATAAAATGTAGCTTATAACTGCTGTCTTTCTTGTGACATAATTACAGGGTAATGCTTATTGATGTACAGGTGAAATTTTATTTTATTTTCAAGATTTTCCTTCAGACGTTCACTACCCACAATGTAGTTATACATTTTTTGGAACATTTTACATAGGTTAATGCACCAGGTATGATAACTATGCAGAAACAAACATGAATCATACAATGTCTCACAAAGTCTAACTCCCCTCCTGTCTACCAAGCAGTTAACAGAGGCCTTAGCTTACGTTTAACTTTCCCATAAAAACAGACATATTTATAATACATGTAGTTTGCGGGAAGGTTTTCTCCTCCCGATGACTGCAGGAGAGGTCATGTTGGCAGACACGTGAATGTTTATGACATGGCACGGGATGAATGATGATGATGATGATGCTGTTCCGAACCTTAATGGAATCTGACCCATATATCAATCAGGTCAACCCATGTGTTGCGTTTCCAAAAGGGTCGCCCATGTTAGAATCGGTGAACGCCCTAGTAATATTGTTGAAAACATCTTAATAACTTATTAAACCAAAGGTCTTTTTATGTCAGAAGAACGGCAGAAACTGGATCTATATATGAAAACTCTTTCAGGACAAAATTTAAAGTAAAACTAAAGATATTTGTAGTTGTATAAAAGTTGCATTTTTCATCGATCGTAGAGCCGGAAATCCGCAATTTTCATCTCAGAACAATGCTTATTTCACGCAGAATCGTTAATAAACGTAAGATTTTTATACGTCTCGAGAAAGATAGAAACATAATCTTCATTTTAAATGCCTTACCATGGGCATATTTGTATTTAAAGCGAAGAACGTGTATTTTTCTAATCGGCGAGCTCCGATCCCGCACAGATCGAGCAACGGAGTAACTCTCTCTCAGAACAATGCTTATTTCACGTAAATTCGTTAATAAACGCAAATGTTTTTATATGTGTTGAGAAAGATAGAAATATAAGCTTCATTTTAAATACTTTACCATAGATATATATAAAGTTCTAATGAAGATACATGTGTTTTAATAATCGCCGAGCTCCGACCCCGCACAGACTGATCGACAGAGCAACTCTCAGAACAATGCTTATTTCACGTAAATTCGTTAATAAACACATATGTTTTATATGTCTCAAGAAAGATAGGAATATAAGCTTCATTTTAAATACTTTAACATAGACATATATAAAGCTCAAGTGAAGATACATACGTTTTTATAGTGGCATTCAGTAGCTTGTCGGTCATGGAATGCAGAAGCCTACGCACTTGCCAATATAGTGTGTAATTAACAAAGATACGCTTATAAAGCCTAAAATATTATATGCCTTCAGAAAGACAGAGATATGCTCGTTATTGTGAGTGCACCAAAGGAAATATATCTTGTTGGAGGACAAAGATATATCAATTCTAAAATAAGTTTCGACTCTCGCTCGGGCGAGAGATAGCGCGACTCTCGCCCCATCTATTGGAGATTCTGTTCACCTAATGACCCAAAGCTACTCAAAGCCTCCTAGCATTACTTAAATAATGAAGAAATATGGTATATTTATTCACTATAATGTTGGTGCTTAATGCAGAACACGAGAAAACATATATTTACTATAAAATAATATACTTCCATTATGAAATAAGTAAATATGTGGCCTCATAGGAAGTCAACGGTCCAGGTGTCAATGTTGTGGAGCGACTTATCCAAGATATATTGTTGTCTGGAAGTGTTTGTTGGCATATCAACCTTCTGTACACAGTGATCCAGTCGTCGCACTTCTCTCCTTAAATGATCGCAAATTTAGTTTATTATATTAACAAGTAGAATACGTATTTCTAATAATATCTAACATAACTAGTCAGAAAATATTTAAGACTTATTGAAAAATACATGTCTGGAAGTTAAATCGACTTCATAGAACAATAGTGTTGGTCTATACTAATCGTTATTCGTTAGTATGCGTTCGCTACTTAAAACATTTACTGTACTGATATAAAATCTCCCATGTCTCTTCGCACATGGAACACCGAACCTTACACACTCTGATATATTGTTTAATTAATAGAGATTCACTAATAAAGCTTATAATTGTATATGTTATCAAAAAGGCATAGATAAAGTCGTTCTTACGTTTTAGTCACAGAGATTAGATATTATTAAAGTAAAGTTCATTTTATTCAGGAAAGTACATAAATAGTCAATTTACAAACGTAATCAGGACAAAATTTAAAGTAAAACTAGATTATGTAAAACTAGATTAAAGTAAATTTATGTTTCTATCTTTCTTGAGACGTATAAAAATCTTACGTTTATTAACGATTCTGCGTGAAATAAGCATTGTTCCGAGATGAATATTGAGGATTTCTGGCTCTACGACCGATGAAAAATGCAACTTTTATACAACTACAAATATCTTTAGTTTTACTTTAAATTTTGACCTGAAAGAGTTTTCATATATAGATCCAGTTTCTGCCGTTCTTCTGACATAAAAAGACCTTTGGTTTAATAAGTTATTAAGATGTTTTCAACAATATTACTAGGGCGTTCACCGATTCCAACATGGGCGACCCTTTTGGAAACGCAACACATGGGTTGACCCGATTGACAGACTGGTTATATTCCAACAGGGTCTGAGACAATGCCACAGACATCATGCAGACCTACATGAAGGTTGTTCGTCTTGATGTTAAATACAGCTGTTGCTGCATGGGTAACAGCTTCTACCCCGTATCAACCTACCCTGGCTTTGTGCCCCTGGTGAGGCCACGCCAGACCGAAAACCAGAGCGCAACTCCATAGTCTCCTGAGACTGATGGATGCCTACTGTTGTTGGTTGAGTGGCGACGACGAACAAGGGATCGGATGTGCCCAATTGTAATTGGAGTAACATTGAGGTTGAGGGAGCCCGGGCTTGGCATCACCATCAGTTGTTTACATGCAAAGTGCTCCACCATGACGTCATCGACACAGTTCTTACGGATACAAGACACTCCGTACATTGACAACATCGCACACTAATATTTTTACCACTTCGGACACCAGATTTCGATGTTTCGCATATGTGTACGTGTTCCACATTAAAACGACAATATAATGCTATTAACAATTAAAATCTTCTATTTAACAGGCATATAGTTATTAAATGAAGTTTAGTGATGTAATAGACATAATCCGGAGATGGTAAGGACTCCGCCCGCCAGCGTAAACACACACACCCGAATACCCACACACACGATACAACGCACAAAACACAACACTTCTGACAGTTTTTAGATCAACTCCTTTTATATTTATTATGTGAGAGTTATACTTATATAAAATGATAACTATTAT